TAATTAAGTGCGGCTATTTTTGTGCTGAATTTTTGTTGGTTTTTTTGTAGTGATTTTTGACTTATTTTTTGGTTTTTATTTTACTTTATTTTATTTCAATTCCTCAAAACTAGTTTCAATTAATACTATAATATAATTATCATTTCTCTCTCTCTCTCTCTCTCTCTCTCTCTCTCCCCATCAGAAATAGTTATATAAGGTTTTTTAAAATAAAAAGATTATATAAATGTTTGGTATTTTTCAACAAATAATTGTTGCGTTCATTGAATGAAATGCCATTCAATTCCCATTAGATTTGATGTTTTTCATAATTTTTGTTTATTTTTCTCCGCAAATGTTTATTTTAATCTCATTTCGGGGAGACTTTAGTAATGGATTTAAACATTTTTAGGCATCAAATTATATGTTTTATTTAACTCAATATTACATAATGTATGTGGCATTTTGCTCGTGGTCTACACTATACCCCACACTAAACGTTATGCACATATAAGTACTGCTAAATTATATCAATACTTATACAGACAGTACTTATAAATGTTTAAACAACTATTTGTCTGCCGGAACCAAATGGTAATGAAATTATGTTTATGTATATTATGTTACATAACGTTATGATGGGTTATATTAGGAAATATATAATACATATACACGTATATCAGGCATACCTTGAATGGCAGGGCATCCTTATAGTATGGACAGGGAGTACAGTCGGTAATGGCTTTGGCATAGCCTATGAACGGACCCCTCAGTAATGCCGATGAATATATGCTATTCATGTCATCTCCGGTGCAAATTGAGCTCCGATTGCTGTCTGTAGACAACGAACTCGTTTGGATACCTATCGGAAAAAACACATCGGGGTTAGACGGTTGGGTCAATCATGGTATTTATATTGATGTAATAGTAAAAATAATAATAGCGATAATAATATAATAAAGTGTTGTGTATAGTAATGGACACAACAATCAATTGAAGGCCAACAACAGCATAGTTTGGGTTTCAGATGCAAATCATTTAAATTCCTCTACTCTTTTCTTCTTTCATCTCTCTCTCGCTCTCTCTCTCTCTCTCTCTCTCTC